GATGGGAAAGAGGAGGAATTAGATTTTGTTAATGTTGTTAAACCACTTCGGTTATAGAGTAGAACTCCCGTATCCATGGCGGATCTGTTAAAAGCCCCCCTGTGGATGCTGGAAAACACAGATTATAGTAAACACGATTTTAATAGTGAATGCTATATAGCATGGTCTCTGTCTCTGTCTATTGGCCAGTTATGGTAATGTTGTCTTTAGAAATATATTTCTAGGATTTTTCTTTTAATATTTTAAATATCTTCAGATTGTGGATAAGTGGATTAGCAGATATTGATCCCATGGATATGGGCAGTCCTATTGTCTTGAGTAAAAAAAAGCTGCCACCTGAGAATGAAATAGACACAGAGCAAAATAAATGGGTGATTTCTCCATAAATGAATTATTCCCCTCCAGCCACTTCAATAAACATATGAATATATGGAGACCTCCATCATCAAATATCTTATGTTTGGAGTCATGCATTCCACTTGACAATGTCCCATCACATCTTGCATCATCATAGGGTATCTTATGAGACTGATAATGGTTTGCTTTACTACAACTCCCAGAATCCCCTTGCCAATGGCGTTATGTTGGAGTTTTGCACAACCTCACACACTGCCTGGAAAAGGTGTGGCTGGAAGGGACCTTTCTGGGCTGGAGTGACTGTCAATCATCGGGCACTAACCAATCATCCCTTCTAAGAGAGCCCCGCCTCTATGCTCTGTATCTCTTTCCCTCTCTTTTTCAGTATGTTGAAATCTGTTGCTGAAGGCAGCCGTGTTTGTCAGTTTGCTGTTGATCTGTCTACAATGTAAGCAATGAAAAGTTTTAATTCTTTCTACTGCTAAATGTCTCAGAGTAAGCTATTGAGACTGGAAGTGCCAGTTCATGCAAAAAGGGGTGGGCTATACTCTGGGGGACTGGAAGCTATTCTGCTCTGTGAATCCCTGCACTTCTGCTGCACAGCTAGAGGGATTTAACCAGAAATTCGAAAAATCTGCAACGATTTACAGGAGACAACTAGGAAATTCATAAACCCTTTGTGAGTTCTTTGTTACTTCTTGTGCACCAGATTTTGTTTAACTTTCCTCAGCTGATGTGATTTGATTGATTCCCTTCCAGCCCTTGAAAAGCCACCCTTGGCCGCTACCTTCGAGGCTAAAGATCCTGTCCCCCAAAGCGTCCACGATATCGTTCAAGGCGGCCTCGTCCGTCACGTTGAAGAAATACTTCTCATCCGGGTCGCTGGCAATGTATTTGATCTCGTTGATGAAGGAATCGGGGTCTTTCTGCCTCCGGATGTAGTGCCCCAACACCTGAAGGAAAAGAAGCCGTAAGAAATACGGGGATCCTTTGCTAGGACCACAGAAGAGTGAGGAGGTTAGTGTGCATCTCTCGTGTACGTGCTCTATAATCTCAATGAATTCACTCAGAGATGTTACCGTGTTTCCCCAAAAACAAGATAGGGTTTTATATTAATTTGTGGTCCAAAAATGCATTAGGGCTTATTTTCAGGGGATGTTTTATTTTTTTCATATACCACAATCTACCTTCAGGTAGTGTGGGCGGCATATAAGTTAAATAAATAAATAAATAAATAAATACAGTCATGTCATCTTCTGATGGCTGCACAAGGGTGGAGGGCAGGGTTTCACTTAACTAGGGATTATTTTGGGGGTAGGGCTTATATTGCAAGCATCCTGAAAAATCATACTAGGACTTATTTTCAGGTTAGGTCTTATTTTTGGGGAAAAAGGGTAGTAATATAAAGAATAAAGATGTCTTTATATGAAAAATCTCAGCAGAGAGGGGGGATCTCTCTGAATTCTGACAAAGGAGAGAAGTACTGATTAATGCTGACGGATTGACAGTTACAAGACCCTAGATAGGCCCCTCCCAGTCAAAACAAGCTAAAGGCAGCCTGCGAGGTTGTTCAGCTCCCAACACAAACTCGCAGGCAGCTGGGTCCCATTTTGTTAGAACAGTTCTGAAAATGGCCCAACGGCAGGTCTGTCGGCAGCCTAAAAGCTGCGCTCCCTGGGGAGAGAGAAAGATGCTGTTTCGTTCGATTTGCATCTTCGTATTTAGTTCGTCACACCGAACCAACAAAGCAGCAGACTGGAACACAACGCCAAGAAGAACCCGGCAACCGAAATCAACCATTTGAAGTTTCTGATGCAGTGTCCTTGTTGTCCTTTAAGGGAGCCAATTGACAGACACACCCTTGACACGTCTCTCTCTCTCTCCTTTCCAGCCTTTTCCGTGCTCACATTTACATGAATCACTGCTAAATTTAGTCGTCTGCCCTGAAGTCGTGGTCCCTCATTTACGGAAACTGCCAAGAGGGAAGGACGCTGGGCTTAAATTAGAATGGAAGAACTTGCTCTCCATTTTCCTTTTGCAACACACCTCTTGCCATGACACAATCCCCCCAATGGCATTGTCTGGACCCACTTCCAGCTCACCAAAAAAGGACAACCAAATAAGAAGCAGAGGTGAATTGAACTACAAATCATCATCAAAAGGACAACCAAATAAGAAGCAGAGGTGAACTGAACTACATATCATCATCGGTGGATCATCCAGTCCAGCCCCTCTCAGGGAGGCCCCGTGGGGGAGTCAGACTCCCAACCTCTGGCCCTGCAGCCAGAGATCTCAACCCCTGAGCGATCCACAATACTTCCTTCTCCGTGTGTATTTGTGTGTGTGAACACTCGCTTCTGGTCCCGGCCATGCCCACGTTTGCTGGCCCATCCTTCCAGGCCCCTGACCACAAGGGCCAGCAGCCCGGAGCCAACCCCACCCCTAGAGGCCCCCGGGGACTCACCGCAATGGCGTAGCGCGTCACGTTGCGTGCCTCGCACTCTTCCAAGGCCTCGGCGAGCTCTTCCCCGTCGTGGGATTCTCCGTCGGTCACCACGATCATCAGCTTAGTCGCCCCTTCCCGGCCACCCCTTTCTGGGCTGAAGGCCTCTGTGCTAAAGAGGCAGAACAGAAAAAGAGATGCCAAGCATTGTGTGTGTGTGTGTGTGTGTGTGTGTGTGTGTGTGTGTGTGTGTGTGTGTGTGTGTGTGTGAGAGAGAGAGAGAGAGAGAGAGAGGCTTCCTGGCCAACTGCTTCATCACTGCATCACAGAATCATAAAACTGTAGAGTTCAAAGGGGACCCCAAAGGTAATCTAGACCAGCCCCCTTTGCGGTGCAGGAGATCTGGCATCACGGCAGGAGTGCGGAAAGATCGAAGAAAGCAACCCCATTTCCATTTCAAAATCGCTCAACCTTCTCCTTTCGAATGATCAATGTGAATGAATAATACAGAGATGCGATTGTTTAAATTTTTTGGACTACAAACTCCATAATTCCCCATTCTGGGAGTTCTACCTGAGGGACAGACACCTTGCAGACACCTGACTGTGGCTCGCCTGGGGGGACTAGACCTTAACAGGAAAGCTTTAGGGCACTGGTTCTTAACCTTGGGTTACTCAGGAGTTTTGGACTGCAACTCCCAGAAGCCTTCACCACCAGGTGTGCTGACTGGGGTTTCTGGGAGTTGCAGTTCAAAAGCATCCGAGTAACAAAGGTTAAGAACCACTGCTTTAGGGTTGAGCTAGGCCTAGCTGTGCCTAGCTTCCTGTTCAGAAAGGAAGTTCCCAGCAAGCACTGGGACACAAACAGGACACTTGGGTAGAAACAGGCCTAGCTCGGACCACCCTTGAGACTCGCCTACCCCTCCCATCTAGTACTCCCCTCCCCCGTAGATTTGACTGCTAACCCCATCAGCCTGAGTCTGCACAGCTGAAGGTTAGGGATGATGGAAGATGCAGCTTAAGAACGGGCTGGGGAAGGGCCACCAAAGGCCCACTTACCAGGCCTTGTGGATAGCGGCCGCCGTCCGGGTTTCCAGCCCCTCCTGCCGGCTGATGTTTTTGGCCGCCTCGATGACCTCCTCTTTTGTCTGGTAATCTTTGAGGGTCCACTCATGGACGGCAACCTCGCTGTACTGTAAGACGCCGACCTAGGTGAAGAAGAAGCTGCAACTTGAGACATGGGTTGTGCGTCCCTGGTTCAGAGAAACGGGAAACTTTATTGGTCTCTTAGATAACAGGCAATGAAAAGCTTCCTACTTCTGTCCGGTGGCTTTTGCAACTCCCATGTAATCCCATGAATCATAGAAGAGCTGTGCGAGCCACAGGATGGAAGGAGGAAGTCTTTTATTACCAAAAAAAATTATCCCCACCAGATAGTATTACCAGCAGAGGAAACATTTTCATAATGAAAGACTTCCTCTCTCCATCCCACCGTTCCCACAGCTTCCATGTGATGAAAGGAATTTCCCAGAAATTAGAAAAGCCCTGGGACAGAAGTAGGAAGTTTTTGATGACCGAAAACCATCCCCTCCCCATGATGGCATCACCCTCTTACAGGCATAGGCGATGCAACAGAATCTCAGCCATTAGATTTATGTGTGTTATGACATGGAAAGGACAAAAAGTGAACCTTACTGAGAATTGTGAAATAATACTTACTGGTGTTACATTTTGGCACCTTCTAAATTTGGTGCTCTAGGGCCAAGACCCGGTTACTCCAACTGAGCGACAGCCCTAAGATACAGGAAGGCCATCCGTTCACAAGCTGGACGAAGCACGTTAACCAACCCATTTGGGTGGTGGTTGCAGCCTGGCCTCCCATCACCCGAGGCTCCGGAACAAACAGCAAAAGGTGTGTTTTCTTCGTGGAAGGGCCGCTCTGGCCCGCTCTGCTTCCTGCCGCCCTCGCTCCCTGAGCCTTGGGGAAAGGTTTTTGCATTCGGACCTGCTGACTCAGCTTTGGAGAGAACCGCTGGAGAGACCTCCGGCCAGCTTTTGCTCCTTCCTCCCTCTTTCCAACCTCCTCGTTCTCTTTTTCACTTCCTGTTCATGCGAGGGAGAGAGTCGGCACCATCCACGCCTCTAGCCTGGCTTGGAAGCCAGGTAAGGTCCCGCAGGGGTGTCCAGCGCGCCAGAGGAAGAAAAGCCGAATTCTACTCCAGAGCTGATGGAAGGAAGAGGTTCGGTCGCACCCTGGTTGGACTACTGTCACCCGCTCTGCATGGGGCTTCCTTTGGAAAGTGCTTAGAAACTTCAGCAGGTCCAAAATGCTGCAGCTGGGAGCTGGACACAGGGAATCACAGCTTCACTGGCTGCTGACCAGTTTCCGGGCACAATTCAAACTGCTGTCCCTTTTACCAGGTACAGAATCAGGAATCCTTCTCTGCGGGCTTTTTTTGGGTTGTCGTCTGTTGAAGTCTGTTGTTGAAAGCAGTCGTGTTTGTCAGTTTGCTGTTCTGAGTCTCTCAAGGATGCGAAACTTCAGCAGGTCCAAAACGCTGCAGCTGGGAGCTGGACACAGGGATCACAGCTTCACTGGTTGCTGACCAGTTTCCAGGCACAATTCAAAGTACTGTCCCTTTTACCAGGTACAGAACCAGGAATCCTTCTCTGCAGGCTTTTTTTGGACTGTCGTCTGTTGAAGTCTGTTGTTGAAAGCAGTCGTGTTTGTCAGTTTGCCGTTCTGGCTCTGTCAAGGATGCAGCTAGACTTCAGGAACCAATCCGAGGGTGTCCGGAGATCACCATCCTAGCCTCTCTGGGTGTACATGTGCTTTACAACCACACTGCACTCAAGGAAAGATGACATTCCTTCAAGACCCTCATTCAGAAGGAGGCCCAGCACGCCTGGCTATTAAACTCTGTGATCTCCAGCCCCTTTCTCATCACCTGCATGTGGCCTTAGGGGTCGAAGGACGGGCCACTCAGGCTGTGTTTGGAAAAGTTGCTTTTCTGGACCTCAAAGGCATTTTTCCAAGTCCTTCCCGTAGCCCTCCATTCCTTCCTCCGATACCTGGCTGCCACCTCCCACCGGGAAGCCCCCGCCCGATGCCACCCGAGCGGAAAGGCGAACATTCCCCCAGTGGTTCTTTGACAGGGTCAGTTCTCTGCCCACAGTCCTGACTCAGCCGGCTGCCAGGAACCAGGAAACCCTCCAGCCAAAGTCTCAGCATTTTCTTGGCCGATGCATCCGGCGGATGTGGGAAAGGAACCTGGTGAGGACATCTCGGGCGGCTTTCAACCTTTCTCAACCCTGTGAAATCATTCACATCCTATTCTTTCTCTCCCTGGAATTTCTCTGCCTGAAAAAGAGTCTGTTCCAGGTCCAGAATATGTTGACCTGAGCTTTTCCAGACACGAGCATTGTATCCCTCTGTATTTTCCATTATACACAGTTTCCACACACACCCAAATGAGTTTTTACTCATCTCCCCAAGCCCTGGTTCACTTCTTTTTCCTGTTTTGTTCCGGGGCTGAGTTTAGCGCTATGGCACTTCCCAAGCATTTACATTAGCCCTAAAGCAAATTTCTCCTTGGTATTAAAATGTCTTCTCCCCAAAATGCCAAGCCTGTGGGACTGTGTGCCAAACGGCACTTGATGTCTCAGAGCCGGGCGGGAGGGAGAAGAGGGTGAACAGGCCACGCTAACCAGCTGGTGGCCTAATAGGCCAGCCGGTCTTACAGAAAGGAAAGAGAGGAGGACTGCTGGAGAGCACGGGGGTTTAAGCCTCTCTGGCTGTGGAGCCCGAGGTTGGGAGTTTGAATCCCCACTGGGCCTCCTTGACAGGGGCTGGACCCGATGATCTATAGGGTCCATTTCAGTCCTGCAGTTCTTCTTATTAAACCATTACAGTTTGCTTAACACCTTGACGGCACCTGTTTGTGGTCGTCCTGTGCCATCAGATCACTTATGACTCACGGTGACCCTATGAACGAGCAATCTCCAAAATGTTCTCTCCTTGGCCGCCTGCTCAGCTCTTTCAAACTCAAGCCTATGGTTTCCTTTAGAAAGTCCGTCCGTCTTGTGTTTGGCCTTCCTCTTTTCCTGCTGCCTTCCACCTTTCCCAGCAGGACGGTCTTTTCCAGACAATCCTGCCTTTTCCTGATGGGCCTAAAGGAGGACAACCTCCGTTTCCACATTCTGTCTGCCTGCTGGGTAAGAAATCTTGCTTCTTTTCTTATTACTGATTTGTATCTTCTTCCTTAACACCTCCAACGTTCTGTGAAGCACCGGGGCCAGGAAGTGCTAAGCTAATCATGAAACGTGGATGTGGATCCCAGCGCATGAAGTACACGTCCATTCCTGAGCGCTCCCAAATGTGGTCAACAACAGAGCCCCAAATAGCCATTTCGGCTCCTGGATCATTGTCTGAAAAACCAAAGAGGTTTAAAAGCACACACACCCCCTTTAAACCAAACTCACCTGGATTTGCTCCGGATCGATGAAAAATTTGCTGAGGACATTGCTAAGGAAGTTCTGCACCTCATACCAAGGGTAAATACTGTTGGATCCGTCCAATACAATGACGATATCCATGTAGGTGGAACATCCTGCAGGCAGAGAAACGAAAAACAGAAGGATAAGCCAAAGTGGAATCGTGGGCTGAGAAAAGGCTAGCGCAGCGAAACAGGCGTTGACGTCCAACGTGCGAACGGTGAGAATCGTATTGGGTCCTTCAGCCCTTATGCGGAAGCTGGATCTTTCCCAATTTCATTATGCGCTCGATTTCTATAAGAATTTGAGCGCTATAGTACTACAGCGCTGAGCCAGGTTCCTTTCCTGAGAGACTTTGCTGGAGCTTCATCAGGTTTCTGAAATATTTATGCTGCTCTACCGATCATCGGGATTTTCTAATGCACAAGCTGAGACGCTGAAGACATGGAAAAGTTAACTTTTTTTTTCCAGCCTACAAATCACAGGATCCTCCAGCCAACCAACCACAGGGAGAGGGGGCACAGCTTTGACAACCAGGTAGACCACGCAAGTCTGTGGTTGTGGCATCTCATCTCCAGGGAGACAAACCACCACCACCCCAAGATGTTTGCAATGGTCAAACCACTCCGTCTTTCCTCTTTGTCTGGCTCAAAACTGCCGTGACAACCTGATTCACCTCATTTTTAATTGGAAGGGGAACCTGTCGCCTTTGCTCGCTGTTTTCTGTGTTGTTCTTATGTGCTGTCAGGTTGTGCTCAACTTAGGGTGACCCTATGAATGAGCAATCTTGAACAGGTCCTGTCCTTCACAGCCCTGCTCAGCTTTTGCAAACCCAAGCCTGTGGTTTCCTTGAGGGAGTCTGTCCATCTCGTATTTGGTCTTCCTCTTCCCCTGCTGCCTTCTGCCTTTCCCACCACATGATGGTCTTTTCCAGAGATAATCCTGCCTTCTCAGGACTGACTCAAAGTAGGGCAGCCTCAGCGTCAATGTTTTTGCCTCCACAGGGAGATCTGGCTTGATTTGTAAACACACCCTTTTCTAGCATAATTTATTTTTATTTTTTTTGCAGAAGGAAACACAAAACAGGACAGCTGTGTGTTGAACCCGTCGGGCTGTCATGTGCTCAGCCCGGGGCCTCACTCCCCATTCCTCCATCCTCACCCTGTGCATGCCATGGACACGTGGCGCATGTAGTGCTCAGCCAGCAAAACTGGCAAAAAATAGCTGCGGACACCCTTCTCAGCTCGCAAGCACCAAAGCCAAAGAACCAAGCTCAGACCAAAGGGCCCGAATCCTGTTGCTGTGCTTAGTGAGTTACACTAGAGTAGGCCCACTGAATGCATGGAGATTACTTGGGACGCCTCTTTAGGATTGGGGAGGGGGATGTTGGAGGGTTTGTGTGTGTGTGTGTGTTTCAACAACCTCGCATGCTGCCTCAAGTAGCAGTGGCTGGGAGGGAACGTCTTGGGTTGGTCTGGCTGTCAATCTATCCAGCACTAACCAATCATTCCTTTCCCTACCTCTGAATTCAATGAGAACCCTGCCTCCCTGCTCTGAATCTTTTTCCCTCTCCAGAGCCCGTTGAACTCTGTCATTGAAAGCAGCCATGTTTCCTCAGTCGGCTGTTTGTTCTGTTCGATTTTAAGTCATGGCATCTTTTGTTCTTTCTCCTACTAATGTCTCAGAGTGAGTTACTGAGACTGTAAGTGCTAGTTAATGATGACGAATTCAATGAGAACCCTGCCTCCCTGCTCTGAATCTTTTTCCCTCTCCAGAGCCCGTTGAACTCTGTCATTGAAAGCAGCCATGTTTCCTCAGTCGGCTGTTTGTTCTGTTCGATTTTAAGTCATGGCATCTTTTGTTCTTTCTCCTACTAATGTCTCAGAGTGAGTTACTGAGACTGTAAGTGCCAGTTAATGATGAGAAAAGGGGCGGACTACGCTGGGGAACTTTATGCTAATTCTGCTCTGTGAACCCTTGTGCTTCTGCTGCACAGCCAGAGGAACATAACCCGGATTCAAAACTCTGCAACACACCTTCCCTTGTGGCCTGCAAAGCAGCAAAGGTACAGCTGTAGTTATTTCACGATGGACGCGTTTGGCTGTCTGAGTTTTCACCATTAATGAAATTTGGTATTAGCAATTTTTGGTATTTGAGGGCCCTTCATCCCGAAGGTTCCAGAATGCATGTTTTTGGAAATCAGGTGCCTCGGAGAAGACCCTCCACTCACTCTGAGCCGTCGGGGCAATGTTCTCCCTGGGACGGAAGTTCTCGTCCACGCTGGTGCAAATCCCGGTGCTGAACAGCGACGTGCCACACTCCTGGGACCACAGAGGCGCGCACGCCTGCCGAGGAAAGAGAAACAGAGGTGGTGACAGACTGTTGCCTTTGTGGGAGACATAACTTGATGTCCAGAGAGAGGTAGCACGCTTAGTCTTCCCCCTTTCCTGCCGCATTCAACTTTTCCTCAAGTTACTGTCTCTTCCATTGTCTTCTCATTCCGCACCAAAACATGACAGCCTCGAACGCCACGAGGTTCAAGACGCAGCGTCTACCTAAAGCTATCTCCCTGCCCCAACATGTTCCTTGAAAACCGTTATCCCCCTGTTCGGGACTCCTGCATCCAGAAGCCCCAGCTCAGCCAGCACTACCAATGGTCGGAGATCCTCGGGGCTGAAGCCAGAAACATCTGCTGGGCCCTCATGTTGAACTCACAGGGCTGCCAGGTAAGCCCACTGAAAGCCAAATCTGGCTTGGGTTCCCATCGAACAGCTGGAAAGGGGCTTAAATGTTACCTTTCCCAGCTGGGCAAAATTCATGAAATAGCATTCTCTTTATTTCTGCCTTAAGGGCAGAAGTTGGGGAAACCAAGAGGTATTTAGGGGGTCACATCTGTCCAGCCTTTGTGACACTGATGGGACCGCCTGCCTCTGAAATCCTGGAGAAAGAGGGCCTGGGTCTCAACTCGGCTTCACTGCCGGCGGGCCCCAGTTTTTGCACAGAGGCCCACGTGGGCCTCATGAGTAAACAAGCGCTTGCCCACAAAATATGCCAGGCAGCAGATCCCAGCCTCTTCCTGCCCCCCTTTTGGGCTTTCAGGGAACGCCCAGCTGAGCTGGACTGGATCCATCCGCTGAGCAACGGCTCCTTGAGCCAGCTCCTTCAGGGGGAGAGGGAAAAAAAAGTGTGTGTGTGTGTTTTTTTTAGCCCCCTGGGAACAAGCCTTTGCAGCTGCAACCTGTGCACGCGTTCCCCCCCTTTGCTTCCTGGCGGAGTCTTTCCCGCGCAGGCAGAAGTGCGACAGGCCGAGCTTCCTGCTTCCCTGCCTTTCTCCTACTACACCCCTTAGAGAACGTGGGGGAAAGTTCCCAGAGGATCTCTGTGTCACGTTAGAATCGCTGGGTGATGGTTCCGCCTCCTAACATCCTTTGGCCTCTTCAAAATCATCATCATCATCTTAGAACTGCAGAGCTAGAAGGGACCCTACAGAACACTTGAGTCCAGCCAAGGAAGCATGGGGGGGGGCAGGGATTTGAACCCTCAGCCCCTGGTTCTGTAGCCAGAGAACTAAGCTCCAGTCCTGAGCAATCCAGTCAGGGATTTGAACCCTCAGCCCCTGGTTCTCCAGCTGTCATTGCTCTGACTCAGCTAACCAACCAACCAATCTTATAATTATTTTTCTTCTTTTCTTTTTCAATTTTTAAATCTGTCTGCCTTTAGGGTTTGTCCGACTGCGGCTGCATTTTCAAACTACAAACCCCAGAACCCCCTGCACGCAGTTATCATCAAGGCGCCACGTCAGGTAGTGCCGTCAACGCCTCCACTCCCAAGTCGGCTCTGCCACCGTCGGAGCCTCCGTCCTCTTCCACCTTACCCAGCCGCCACCTCTCCCCCGATGGAGCGCCTGTCGCTGCAGGTTCCTCCAAGGTTTGGCTCCCGGTTTTTATAGCTGCCGCCAAGCGAGCCAGGCCTGGGGTTAATGCGGCTCACACACAAAATACCCCCACTCACCACAAAGCCGTCATCTCGGTTGGGCACCAGCGTCATTCCAAAATGCATGTTTTTAATTTGCTGGGAGTTGTTCTGAAGGGCCAGGTCACCTAGTTTGGGTCCGTAGTGGGGGAGGCGGGAAGGAGGAGGGGAGAAAAACAAAACAGAATAAAGCTGACAACTTGAGCCTTGGCGATGCACGGCTAAGGAAGGGGTTACGATGGGGCAACCCTGAAACCCTCAGGCGCTTCCTGTCATCTTTGGTTACACGCCTCCAGATCCGAGATCTGAGTTCCTCCTCCCCCCCACCCCCGGGCCTGAGTCCTGTTGTAAAGGGAAGGTCAACAGATGGGTCTAGATCCAACCCAGTGGAGACTCCTCATGAGAAAAGGCCATCGTGCTGGGAAAAGCTGAAGGGAGCAGGACAAGAAGGAGTCGGGCCCCCATACGAGATGGGCAGACTCCCTAAAGGAAGCCACGGGCTGGGGTTTGCAAGATCCGAGCTGGGCTTTTAAGGGCAGGACCTTCTGAAGATAGCTTGTTCACGGGGTCAGCCTGTCACAACCACAACCACAACATGCATTCGAAATGTCTAATCCAGCTGTAAGTTTCCTTTTGACATCTTGTTTCTTCTGGAAGACGTACATCGAGCTCGGGTTGGACTAGATGACCTCGTGGTGTCCCTTCAGTTCTTTAAAAGCCCCTGAATTTCCACACTGCTCTGCCCCCAATCTGCTGGGTGTCTAGCAAGGCTGGGACCATGGGTAGGCGGGCCTGTGTGTGCATGGGCACACACTCCTGGCCAGCTACACTTTGCATGTGCTCAGGAGCACTGTTGTATTTAGTTATGTGATACGCTTATCACCAGCATCTCTCCCTTTAATGAGCAGAAAGTGTGGCTCCCTCCTCCCCACTTCATCCTGTCAATAGCCTTGCGAGGCTGGGTGGGGTTTTGAAACCAGATCTTCAGAATATCAGTCCAGGACTCCACATGGGCTCTACTATATTCATTTTTTTAAATTGGAGGACCTCCGTATCCACCGGAGATCATTTCCAAGCCTCCTCTATGGATGCTGAAAAATGCAGATTACAGCAAACTCCATTTTAATAACGGCATCTTATATATATATATATATTTTTTTTTCCTAGGATTTCTCAGGGGAGCGCCATATTTTCAGACTGTGGACAATTGAATCAGCGGATACTGATCCCACGGATAAGGGGGTCTCCCTGTACTTTCATCATGAAGTCCAAGTTTTAAAAACTAGGCTGTGGCATACGTATATGGCTTCCTCGCCTTTGCCCAGGAGGCGACCCTGGGCGCTGGAGCGGAGCCTCGACCAAAATTAGATGGCAAAGGGGCTCCCACCGGCAGGGAGGAGAGTTTCAGATACACTGCCCCTAGACAGGGAGGCTCCCTCATGGGAGTGACTTGATTACCCACCAATGTGGACTTTGGCGCAGGTCGAGTTCCTTCTTCCTCCCACGACGCACTTGTACACGTCCCCCTGGCGGTCGTCGGCCGTTCCTTCCCAGGGAGCCCCTACCAGCATCCTGTGGGGGAAACCCGCAGCGTTCGGGAGCATCTTAATTAAATTAAAGCACATCTCTGTTTTTTAAAAACCCATTTTTTTCCAAGGGATTCCAATATAATTTTGGAGAGAAAGTGGCCAGCCATGTGCTACGGTTGCTGCTGTTAGAAGCTCAGGATCGCCACCACTGACTAACTGAACGGCCTTGGTCAATGGACATCTTTTTTTGGGGGTATTTTTAAGGGTGACCCAAACGGCAGACGTTCAACCGAGAGAGTTTCCACATCCCCACGCTTCTAAAAGGCTTCCCCTGTTGAGTGGGTGCCTCACTTAGGAACTCAGTAAGGGAAGGAACAGAGAGACAGGGTTCCTTAATTTTTCTCCACCTCTGCTTCTTATTTTTCATTAATTAATTAAGTACCACAGTTTCAGGGTCAGGGTGGGGAGGCAAGAAAATGTATAAGTAATTAGTTACATGTGAGTACTTACTTGTAACTAATTCCTCTCTCCAAGAATGATGGTATTGCTCAGGACAGGCAATGTTAGAAAGTCAAAGGGGCTATTTTTTAAAAAGAAACCAACAAAACCATAATTCCTCCCCCACTTTTTGCAGAATAAAATTTGGAGAGGGGTGATGAGAACTTTTGGAGGCCTATTAAAAACCCAATTTTTAAAACCCTTAAAAGTAACTTTCAAAAGTAAGTAGGTGTTACTGACTGCACCTAAGTAACTCAGGTTTTGACTAGTTACTTTCATTGTTACCCAAAAGTAACTAGTGACAAGTCAGCTGTGTCTTTAGCTCCTTTTAGGTCCCGAGACTTGGTGGATGTTTAATTTTTGAGACGACCAGAAGGGTGAAAACAGAAGATGGGGAAAGGAAAAAAGATCTGAATAATGTGATCTGTTTTCCATGTCAATGAGAAATAAATAAATACAGGAATCTATGGTTTCCCCCCCGCCCCCCGGGTGAAGTCATAGCTAATGTTCAGATTTTCTCCTTGATTCTTCATTGCTGAGAAGCCCACGGATTCCTTTCCTGTTCTGGTCATTTGATATCAATCGCAAAATTCTTAATTAAGGTCGTGATAAGTTTGCAGGTTTCAAAAATGAGCCCAGATACCGTTTAAAAAATAGATTTTTTTAAAAGAAAGAGAGAACAAATTTCTCTTCCTAGTCGAATTCTGAGTGTGATGAGCCGCTTGGTTTAAAAAACCTGAATTACAGCCGCTGGCTCACTCAGGCATCCATGACCTGCTGCCTTCCAGAAGGGCTGGGCAATGGACTACGATTCCCATCGTCCTCCCTCCAGCCTGGCCTGGGTTCAGACCTCGACTGTGCCATCCGGACGAATTAATTTCATAATGCACCCCGCCGCCTGCCCGCAGGCTTTGCCCAAAGCTCGAACATCTGGAGAACCCGTTCCCTGTGGCTTGGGGCTATGACGGGACAGCGGCCCGGATTTTGATCCAAACACCCACCAGCGGCGTCTGAGACCTCGTTTCCTGGAACCAGAGGCTCTTTGGACCCAGTTCTCTGGCTGAGCTCCAGATCCTCCTGGCGTCCCATTCGGGTCTCTGTCTGCGTGAGCTGTCCCCCGCCCCCTCTTTTTTTGCCTGTAAATGATTCTTCCATGGGGCAGGCGTTCCCTGGTCGCTTCAGCCCTGTTATCCTTTAATCATAAAACCATCTCGGGTCCAGTTGCGGAAATCAACACGAAAAACTGGACTGGCCTTTTCTGGGCTCCTAGATCCGGGACCGGTGGCCTGGCGGCTGCCTAAAACTGTGGCTTGCTTTTTAAAAGTTACTTTTAAGTTACTTTTAAAACCCAAACCCAGAGGGAAAGAAAGAGGAGCAAACGGCAAGGAATGGGGGAGATCCCCTTGTTTTGACTCGTTTTTAAAAAGCTTTTTGTGGGCTGGCCTGCTTAAGGATGGGGTTCTTGATCAGGGAAAAGGTGAAAAGTTAGAAGAGGAGGATTCGAATTTGGGGACTTTTTTGGGGGGAGGGGTAGGTAGTTGGACTACAACACCCAGCATCCCCCAGCAAGGTGTAGTTCAAAGGGAACGAGTAAAGGCCAGTTCCTCAATGCTTTGGGAAGGAACAGGTTGCTTTAAGGCAGCCTCCCCTTGCCAATGGCCATGTGGGCTGGGGACGGTGGGCGTTGTAGTGTCACACCTCTGGAGCGTACTGGAGAGGGCTAGCTGTATCCCTTCCCTGTCCAGCCAAACACAGCCCTACCCTTTTCATGGGGGCAAGCAGGGGGGAGAATGCAACACAGGAGAGCATGTCATGCTAAATCCCATTTTTCTTTGTTTGTAACCACTTTTCCTTGTTTTGTTTTTTTAAATGTGATTTTCCTATGTGATTTTACATGCTGTTCCCCCAGCAACAATATGTTAGTTCTTTCCCCTAAACCCCACAAACACCTCCAGAGTCCAAGATGTGGCCCACCCATCACAAACAGGCATATTTTCACTCAAAATATATCTTAAAAAGTACATTTTGCCTCAACCCCCCCATACATTTAAAAGCATATTTTAAGACCCACGAACCGCCCACATCTGTATCCCACAGTGTGAAATCTGTTTAACAGTCCATGTTTGATTCCCCCATATTTTCGACGAGATCAATAAGTACTAAAAAGGGCAATGAGGTAAAATAAGTACCGAAAATTGCGAACTTTGGATTCTCCAAGAAATGTAATTCTCCCCCCCACACACACACTTTACTGCTTTTAAGTAATGCCTCCTGCATCTCTTTACTGACTCTGAAGGAATTTTTTTAGGAAATTTCCCAACCACCAAATCCCGAATGTGCCGGTTCCGAATTCCTCCATAGGTGTGAGTTCGGCTGAAGATTCGTAAGGCAGAGAGGGAAAAATAACAACCATGTCAACACCCAGAAGAATCATCTTTTCAAGGATGATTGACTCACCATTTCTGCCCTTGGGCTGTGTACTGTAGGACTTTGTACCCAAACTGGGATTCTTTGGGGCCACGGAAGATCTGGGGTCTCTTCACATCGATATTAAATGGGGTACCAAGGCCTTGAATGGGAAAGAGAGAGAAAAGGAGAAGTGAACACATTTATTGACAAACAACAGAGGTCTTTTGCCTGCGTGACTGATTATTCGTTTCACTTCCCAAATACACGCAAGGAGGGGTGAGATTTGGGGTGGTTTTCTGGTGATGCCATAAGATGGGGCGGGGGGTTTTGGGAAAGAAGGAACACTCGCTCGCTGTCCCAAAACATAAAGCCCCAAACTAGTATGTTATTAAAAAAAAAAAAATTAGCGCTAGATCACCATATCGCTATGTTGCTATGTCAGTTTAGCACTAAATCATCTCTGCATGATAAAAAGAGATAAAAACCCGTATGAATCAATATTTCTTTTCTTTTCTCTCCCATTTTTAAGGGACTCTTACCGCCGCCTTCCAAAAATGGTTTTAGCTGGGATGGTTTTACACTATCGCACATTCCCAGCCTTTGAAAAAGAAAGGGGGGGCAGAATGAAGTGAGAGGAAGTGAAGGTGCTGATGGCAGAGGAAAACATAGCACACCTATACCAACACTCAGAAGTGTCTTCTCGAAGCTGTTTGTTGCTATGTTCTCTTCCTGAATTCAAGGTAATTAAACGATAAAATTCTTTGTTTGTTAACCTGAACCTAGCAAGACCTACATCCTCTCAGTGATGCGGATTTTTAAGTTGGAATTATTGCAGCCTCACATGCTGCCTCTACTAGGTGTGACTGTCAGTCACTAATAGCACTAACCAATAGTTCCTTCCATGCCTCTGAATTTAAAGGGAACCCCGCCTCTTTTCTTTTGAGCTTTTCCTCTCTCCTTTGTCTGTTGCTGCAGTCAGTCATGTCTGTCCCTCTGTAGGGGCCTGTTGTTGAAAGTCAGTCAGCCCTGTTTGTCAGTTTGCTGTTGCAGCCATTGAACTGTAAGTAAATGAAATGTTTTTATTCTTTCTCTTACTAATGCCGCAGCGTGAGTTACTGAGACCGTAAGTGCCAGATGATGAGGGGGAAAAAGGGGTGGACTAAGCAGGGGAACTTGAAGCTAATTTTGCTGTGTGAATCTCTGCACTTCTGTGCAGCTGCAGGAATTTAACCAAAAAATCAGAACACTGCAAAAAGAGGTAGGGAGATACAGCTCGCAGATGTGAATCCAGGTAAGTCCAAGAGCTGTTCCGAACCAAACAAGACAAAGACAGCAGAAATTCTCTGTTTTGGAAAAAAAAGCCTGATGTACTTGCCCGGTTGACCTCTTGTATGACCTTGAGATCAAATGTCTTTGGCTCCGGCCTTGAAGACTGGCCAGTTTGATCTTTACTGGGAATACTGGAAACCTGGATTTACCCTAACTGTAAATTCTGAGGGAGGCTTGTAAAAAAATAAAATAAAATAAACCCTCACGTCAGCTGTTTTTTGTTTAAAAACCAAGCATCAGCTCACAATAGAAAAGAAAACATTTCTGAACTTATATTTGCGAGAAACAACCGGCATTTCTGTTGCTTTCTCCTTCTTTTTCCAGCGAAGGAGGAAGTCTTGACCAGAGTCACCGTCCTTGTCGGAGAGGCTTCTGAGATCACCCGGGCGTCTGGCTCTCCAGCGATGGACCGACGGTCAGCCCTGAGCCCGGCGGGGCTGGGCAGGAATAAAAAAGAGGGAAGCATTTCCTGCCTCGCACGAGGATGTGTGAGGAGGAGGGAAGGGTGTTGTGGTGTCCTCTGCACAATCGCTCCTCTGTCTGCACTCTGGATTCCACACTTTGGAGGAAAACAGCCCGCGATGGAAGGCGGGCCGGAGGGCCTTTCCGTTGCTGTCAGGCACGACGGCAGCTTCTTAGGGATGAAGTTGGAGCTGATGGCTTCATCAACTTCCTCGCACGCGTAAAAGCAAACTTCGGCGCATGGAGTGCATGCGGCTGCTTCAATGTTCATCATGATCCCCGGAAAAGACCCCACATGCTCCGTTGGAGTAGGACGCATCTACAGATGTTCAAAGCCAGGCCAGGAAGATTCCTGCCACTTTGAGTCATGGCGCACCGTCTGGAAGCGATGCCCCTGCATCCCCTAATTTCTTTTAATCTTACAACGGCAGAGCTGAAAGGGACCCTCTGGGTCTCTGAGTCCAGCTCCTGTCAAGGAGGCATCAAGGGGGAATCCATTCCAAATATCCTCTCACCGCACAGCCGAAGGGCAGGGATGCACAGAGCAGAAGTCCCCCCAGAGAAGGCCACTCCTCTTCTCACTCACTGGCACTTACAGTCTCAATAATTCACTCTGAGACATTCGTAGGAGAAAGAACAAAACATGTTTCCTTACTTACAGATCAACAGCAAACGGACAAACATGACTGCTGTCAGCAACAGACTTCAACAGACTCTACAGGGGGGGGGGAAGCTCTCAGCAGAGAGACAGGGCTCTCTTTGAATTCAGAGGCAGGGAAGGAAGGATTTGTTACTGATGGATAGATCGACAGTCACCCCAGCCCAGAAAAAGTCCCCCCCAGCCACACCTTCTCCAGGCAGCCTGTGAGGTTGCAAAAACCCCGTTTCTAGTTCTTTCCTTCCGGGCCTCCCTCGGCATCAGGCTCCTCAGCCTCACCTCCTGGCTCACGCTGGTGACACGGGTAGAACTAGAGTCATGCCACATCGTCTGGAAATGATGTGAACCTTTCGGATATTTTGGGCTTCTGTTCCCAGAAGCCCCAGTCTACACAGCCATCAGGCGATAGATCGACAGTCACCCCAGCCCAGAAAAAGTCCCCCCCAGCCACACCTTCTCCAGGCAGCCTGTGAGGTTGCAAAAACCCCAACACTCTCAACCCTTTGAGATCTATACACTTCTCCGGCCCTTCTCTGTTTCTACTATTCTGATGCTAGAGCTACTCTTGAGCTGAGAATCAATCGGTCAGGGATTTGGAAAATGTGAACCTTCCGGATATTTTGGGCTTCCGTTCCCAGAAGCCCCAGCCTACACAGCCAACAGGTGGGGATGGTGGGACTTGGAGTACTGCCCCTACATTTGGTGGGGCTTAACCTTCCCGTCTTTGCCACCCATCGACTTTGCCTCGGCCACAAGGGGAGCTAATCTTCTTCAGCTCCTTAAAGCCGTGACCGCAACTTTGTATCTTGTGTCAGGGAGTTCCACACACAACACACATCCTATCAAACCCCCTTTCTGGGGCAGCAAGCATGAATATGTGTGTGTGTGTGTTTGGGTCAAGGGTGTTTTTTTGGGGGGGGCTATGTGAGATGGGACGTCTAAAATGCCTGCCCTGCCTTTTCTGGCTTCCCAGAAGCTTCACACAAAGACAAACTGCTTATTTTCTTTGTGGTGGGCAAAGCCGCTTGCCAGCGAAAGCACACACGTGAAATGAGGCTGGCCAAGGAGGCTGCGCCCAGGAGCGTATTTTAGGAAATAGCAATTAGAAAGGGCAAATCCGAGCTGATCCGGATATGCCACGAAAAATTGAAAGAATTCTCATGTCGGGAGTGCAGGAGGCATACAGTTCAAGACCGTGTTACTTTGCTTAAGAGTTTTAAATCTTAATTTTGAGCCATTCCTTCTTGAAAAACCCTGACTTCCACCAAGGCTCCTTTCCCCCTTTGAAATGAGGGCCTGCATGAACCCCTTGTTCTTCCCCACCTAAACCTTCTCCAGCTGCTGCCTTCCAGCTGTTTCAGACAACAACACCCATCGTCCCAAGAGACCACAAGCATTCAGTAGGGTGATGGGTGTTGTAGTCCATTGGGGGGTTGGCTTATGGGTTTGAGACAGATGGACTTCCTAAAGGAAGCCACGGGGTTGAGTCTAGAAGAGCTGAGCAGAGCTGTTGAGGACCGGCAGCTTTGGAGGCCCCTCATTCCAGGGTTCGGTTCTCCACTCTGCATCCCAGAAGAGCCAGCCCGGGTGGCCTTGGGCCAGCTGGACCGTCCCAGGGCGCCCCACCCCCCCGAAGAAGGGAAGGGCAAACCACTCATGACTATTTTCTACTTGGAAAATACACAGGAGTGTATAATTCTGATTCACCATGAATCAGAATTAACTTCATGGCACATGCTTATTATTATACACCACTGGGTCATCATCTTAAGAAGATAAGAGCTGGTGGGAAAAGACAGCAGTGCTTGAAAACATTGAAGCAAGCAGGAAAAGAGGAAGACCTAACAAGAGACTGATGAACTCCCTAAGGAAGCCCCAACCTCGAGTTTGAAATTGCTGATCAGAGTAGCTAACGACAGGGTCATTTGGAGGTGGCTGCTGCTTCGAGCTGCCATAGGTTTTTTTAAAAATTGACCTGATGGTGCATAACAAGAACAAGTTCCAGTGGCCTTATCATTCACGAGATTTTGCAAAGCCGCATTTGGCAAACATTTGCTTGATTTTGTTTTGTGACTAGTCAGCTGAGAGACAGGATGGCTTAGCTTTGCATGTCTGATGCTCCAGGCATGTAGGACTGAAAGACTGGCAAGCCTGGAGGGATAACAGTCTCAGAAGAGGAAATGCTTGTTTACCTTAATAGGTAATCTGACCCTCTCTCTTCATGGTTCATCTCTTTCCCGTTCCACTTGAATCAGCTGAGTGAATCTGTGCCTAAATCCGTGGCTTTTCCTGGTGGACTTTGGAACCTTAGACGTTAAGGGAAGGGCGAAGGGGCCGTGCGGAGAGAGAAAGAGGCCCAGATGAACTGGGAATGGCCTAGATGATGAGGAAGAAGTAGAGGCACCCATATGACTTTAATGCTCATGAGTTCCAAGAGTGATGTTGTGGATGTTCCTGGTTTGAATCTTGCATCTGCCACGACTTTCGCTCCTGGCTTCAGAAGCTCCACCTGCTGGCCTACCTCGCCAGACTGTTGTGAGGACGAGATCACGCAGGAACTTGTTCCTCTCTCTCTCTCTCTCTCTCTGTGCTGAGAATTTCCACCAGATTCAAACCTGTGTGACTGTGGTTCACAGGCCTGGGGGTCTCAGAATCCGTCCCTAATGAAACGCAGCATCCCACGTCAATAAAATATTTCCATGATGCCTCATTTTCCGTGGGGGAATTTAAAGCGACCTCCCCAGGAACTGTTCTCCAGATGCTGACTAAACTCGCTTAAGGGGCCTGAATGGTTTGCCTTGAGGAACAAAATAGAGAAGTTACTCCTTTTTAGGACAGCTGGTCACCAGGGTAGTCGGGGGATTCTGAGTGCCGTAGTTTCAAAAGAAATCTTCCCATGCTCTGCCTTTGAGGGTCGTGTGCTCCATTCCTTTTAAAGGCATCTTTTGCCCTCGCTTCCTGGACAAGTAACTCCGCATCAACAATAATAACCTCCGACCCTCTTACAGTCCCAGATTAATACATAATAATTCATGAGAAGGAGAGTTGACCATAACATTTTTTTTAAAAGAAAAATTATTCACCCAAGATCAATTAAAATGTTATATATTCCTAGCACTCCCTTTGAATTTCTTGTTGCGATTCATACACCAACCCAGTAAGGCAGGCTGGCATAGGAACATGCCAGAAACCCCCTTGTTGCACCAAAGGAAAAAGTGGAAAGCAGCAGGAAAAGAGGGAGACCACCTACGAGAGGGTTGGGCTCCTGAAAGGAAGCCACAGGCCCGCGTCTGCAAGAGCTGAGCAGCAGCTATCGGGCGTAGAAGGAAGCCACTGTGCTCCAGCGTCGCCCCTTAGCTGCGGAGGGTGGGTGGAGCTAGAAGAAGACCCAGGTAGCTTGCTCCTGACTTTGGAGGTTCTACTCTGGCTGATAAGACTTCCTTTCTGCCAATTTGTTTCCACCCTCTCCACATCTACCAGAGAGGGAACAAACTTTATGGTGAGTACAATAAATAAACTTTCTGATCATTATTAAGGAGGGTAACGGCCAAGCCATTTTTCCACATGGGGAACTTCCCAATTTAGGGAGGGCTGTGCCTGAAAGCTGAAGGAAAAGGAAAAAGTTGAGATTTTTCCCCCCCCAAAATAGACAGACAATCGGTTTATTACCGATTACCGGTTTCTGGGGTGAATCACATCCCCTCTGGTCAGCTTCTGCACCTCCCCTCAGCACCAGGAAGATTCCCTGCGCCACCCTCCTGACAAGGTAGGCCTCCCTCCCGCCCCTCGCCTGACTTTCCCCCCCTTCTTTTCAAATGGACGTAGCCATTTTTTGAAACCGAGGGAACCTACCTGAAAGCAGCAAAAGGAGGAGACATTGAAGGGAAGAGCGGAGGATGGGCGACACTCCCATGGTGGGGATCCGAACTCGCACCCAAGCAACGACCCGGGAGAAGCTCGAGGCCGTCTGGGCATGGCCCGGGTCTCCTTTGCAACCGCCGAAATTTTGCTGCCCGTCAGCAACCGCCTCAAAGGTTACACTGTCTTCGGCCGGACTCTTACACACCACAACCAAATGTTTTCTCTGCCTCCTTCATAGCGGAAAAAGCTCCCATTGGCTGCTAAAAATACCTTAAAAGTTTGGCCTTTGACGCGCCAGGCCCTCCGCCGCCCTTCTCCTCTTCTCCCTCCGACCGCCTGCGGACCTGACTTGTAAAAATGAGAAGGAAAAAAGAAATCAACACATAATATATAATCTGTATTTGGTGATAGGAAAAGAGGAAAGCGACAGGAATCGCTAACCAGCCAAGGCAGAGAAAAAGGACTCCCGTTTTGAGGCTAAAACCGGGTGGTTAAAAACATGCAAAAATGCAGAAGCCAGAGTCAAACGTTTGATATTTTAATTTTCCCCCCATCTCCTCCGGTCTTACGCAGAGTGGTGTGCGTTCGGCACAGAATAAGCATAACGGATGCTCACAGTTCTTGGGATTGCAAAAAAGAAGGCGCAGCTTACCAGCCGGCTCAAACTTTGTCACGTTTCCTTGTTTTATAAATCATGTCTTTATACATCCTTGATAACAATAAACTCATTTATTAAGTGTGTTGTTTTCCAGGCTGAATGTTGAACTAGGATCCCATTTTCAAACTTGTTGGCAACGCAAGATCTCAGCTTGGAAATGTGTGATGCGCTTGTTAGCCTAGACTGTCTTTCCACCCACATCTGTGAATATCCTGCCCCCAACATTAATGTTTTTGTTATTATGAGCTTGCAGAGTTCCACTTTGCTTTACTCTGGGAAAGGAGACTGCTTTTTTTTTCTGCCTTAAAATACTTACATATTTTTCTTTGATCGATAAATTGTCCAGATGCCCTACAGATTCTTTGGTGATAAGAAGTGAAAAGTTTTTCTGGTGACACTCGGGACCGGTGTGTGTTTGGGAGCAAAGAATTCACCCATCCCTGTGTCTTCGTTTGTGCAGTAGTGAACTAAAATCTATTGGGCCCAGCCTTCATAGGGGTGATGTGTGTGTGTTTGTCTTTGTGCAAGCCCGCACAAACTGTATTCAGAAATATCATTGCTCATCATAGGAGTGCCACTAGCCACCTATGCATCCTGCTCAAGAAGGGTTACAAAATGCAGGCAGCCAGATTGACCCATAGAAACAAATGAGGAACGGGTCTTTTGTAAAGCTTATGGCTCTTAGTTGACCAGACGGCAACAGGGATAATTTGAAACACTACACTTTTCTTGAGAACATCCACGTCTCTCCCATCAACTGTGAAGATGGCAGCTAAGCTTAGACAGGAACCAAGGCTTTGGAGCTGATGTGTGGCACAGAAAACCATAGACCCAGAGTTTCGAACTTGGGAATCTTGGCTCTATTACATCAATGTGGGCACCCAACAAGGACAGTTTGAACCCAACAAAAGTTTATCAAATACCCTGGTTCTACGTAGAAGCCCTCTATTTCGTCTTTTGTCTACCTAGATTCCATTTGTACTCTAGACTAGAGCACCAGTCAAAATACATACATTAGGTTCTTCTAACTCTTCTTTGGACCTTAAACCA